GGCTCCTTGTAGCAGCAGCATAAACGTGCGATGTGCTCTATGCTCCTCCACGATGGATATGCGTACGCGGCCTAGCTCTCTTGCTCCCTCTTCAAGCACTTGACCACCGCGGCCGTTTTGAATATTCACTACCGGCACGCGATGTGTGCGATTCGCGCATTCGCTACTTGGCCGCTAGTTTGCTCCGTTTGTTCGAGTTAGTATGGCGTTATGTTTCAGGGGGTGGGTGCAGGGTTGCCATAATGTTTCATGATGCTGACGACGAACAAATAGAGTAAAGCTGCCAAGGTATCGTGCGTTTCCATGAAAGAAATCCTTAGGGTAAATTGCCAATTGTTGCACACCACCCAATTGTTGAACACTTCACAGTGTTTACTATGCAGCATTTATCCATGGTCATGACGTTTACCGATCATGTTGACATGTTGAACATTGATCAATTGTTCATGTGTGTAACGAAAATAATACGCTCATGCTTCTCAGCAACCGCTTCACCGAATTGGACACAACTAGCGCCAAATGAAAGGTACTGTGGTCCCATTGAACGCTATTGAATACTTTTGGATTCCATCAACCGGTTCTGGAGATTGCAAACCTATCATGCGACACATCAAATCACATGCGAATTCAAAAACAAAATCATTGGTAATCAAATAAAGTACTCAGGACCACCTTGGCCCCTTCCGGGCATGTTCTGGAAACTCCCAGGGAAGTGGCCAATTTCTGACTTGGTCCAAAACTCATCATGTGACACATCAAATCACATTAGATTTCAAAAGCAATATCAATGGTAGTCAAATATAGTGCACAGAATCATGTTGTACCCTATCGGATATGTTCCGGGCACCTCCAAGGAAATGGCCAGTTTCTGATTTAATCCATCCATGCGCCACATAGCAAATCACATTAGATTTCAAAACCAAGATCAATGGAAGTCAAATAATGTGGCTAGGACCACCTTTCTTACTTCCAGGCATCTTTCAGGAACCCCTAGGGAAGTGACTAGTTTCTGATATGGTCCAAACCCTGTGATTTGACAATTTTATGTGTCACCGAAATTGAAAAACAAGATCAGTTTAAGTCAAATATAGTGCTTAGATCCACATTGGTCACATTCTGGTATGTTCCGGGTACCCCCCAGGTAATTGTCCAGTTTCTGACTTGGGCCAAAACCCAACACGCAACAACATACCAGACAAATTTCAATAAATACAGGTTTTTATTATTATTTCACCGGGAAGCACGAGGAGCAGGAGGACGAGCAGTTCAAGGCTTTTTGTTAAAGCCGCACATCAATCCCGGAGACAGCCATCGGAGATCTATTTCACGGTAATTGCCGGATAAAAACCGTGTACGAATGCGCACGAGATTAAAAAATGGCTGACCACGAAATCAGGGTGTGAGTTGGTTTTGATTCGGGTTTTGACGTTTGAAATAGAACGGTCAAAAATATACCAACCGGTGCGTACGCACACAATTTGATCTATTTTGGCTAGATCTTTTTAATTGTAGCTGGTTCAAATGTGACATAAATTTGGATCTAGATCAGACCACCGCTAAAGATGCCCTAATTAGACGCATGGTTCTGGATTATTGTCTTGTCTATGGAAAAACGCTTAAAGGTATGCAACGGTTCATATAAACAGCTGCTGCGTATATTTTCCTCCCATGGTTGACCGGTTCAATACAATTAATAAAATAACTGATACCGTGAGGACAATATACCTGAAAGTTAAGTTCAATCATTCAGAACGACTGAAGAATTATTTATGTTGAAAAATTGCAACCTACATGCATTAAGCCATATTTTTTAGGGTGTGCAATAATTAGATACAAAGTGTGCAATAATAGAATTTCAAAGCAAATGATGCGTGCAACAATTGGGCTCTAAGACATATTCAAAAGATTTATTATAAGAAAAGTTCTAACGAAAATAAATTGCAAATAAGCTAAGGAAATGTTTTATAAATCGCAATAGAGTATTTCTTGATAAATTTCAACTTAGAAAACGTTTTCAACTTCGTAAGTTAATTCGCTAAACAACATAAAGCGCGTGCTTAGCTGTGCAACAATTGGCAAATTACCATAATTAAATAAAAAAACCCGAATTTATCCACCTATGGTGTGATCAGACCCTTCTTACTTATTTAAGTTTATTTATTTTATTGTCATTATCAGTGACCAAGCCCCCCACCCCCGTGTCATCCAGTGACGCTACGCCACTGCCTGGGGGTACCCGGAATATATCCGGGTGTAGTCTATTTGGTGAGGCTACCAATCACCTTATCATCGTATTTTAATGTGATTTAATGGGTTTTAATTCAATTCATATTCAAGCAACTTCCCCGGGGTACCCGGAACATGTCCAAGTGTGTCCAATGTGGTCTGGAATACTTAACACGACTTGCATTGATCTTATTTTTGAATTCTGTAGTAATTTGATGTGTCGCATGATGATTTTGATACGTTTTCCGTTAAATCCAGCGTGAAGGCCCATATTCACCGGATCTTATTCCGGCCATATCTCCGGAACCGGTTCACCGATTCCAAAACCGTTCAATAGCGTTCAATGGGACCCCAAGACCTATCATTTGGCGCCGAGTTTGTCCAAATCGGTTGAGCGTTTGCTGAGAAACGTGAGCGCATTCATTTCGTTACATAAACACACACATACACACATACACACGTACACACACACACACAGACATGTTCCGATCTCGTCGAGCTGAGTCGAATAGTATATGACACTCGGCCCTCTGGGCTTCGGATCGATAGTCGGGTTTTCAAGTGATATCTATACCCTTCTTTGTAAGACAATAACAATTGGTTGAGAATTGAAGAGATTCAAGAGTTCCGTGACAGGCATCGAAAGCTCTCAATTGGGTTGTTTAACCTCGAAAAATATACAAATTTTTATATATCATCTGATAGAGTTTTGTTTTCTGATCACAACGATATTTTTATCGATCCCGTAGACGTTCATCTCGATTTTTAAATCAAGATTAAAAATTTTGATCGTTGACACTAAATCTATTCGTTGACAGCTCGCTCCAGTACAAACTCCCACCAAGGGGCGCTAAGATGGTGATTTTTGCTAATGAAATCGTACTTATTTAAAATAGTTCCAGTGTACCAAAATTGATGAAATTTTGGATTTCGGTTCGATTTGTAATGCAGATAACAAATATGTATTTACCTCAATACCCCTAAACAACCCAATTAATAACTGTGGAAGTGCATCTAGAACACGAAGTTGAGAGCACGCAACAAGTTAATAAGCAATAAGCTTGAATTACGAGAAATAACAAGATGAAGAGTTTCATAAAGTGTTATGCCAAAATTGAAAAATTTAGAATTTTGAGAAAACTTTAAAGAAACTTTGTATGTAGTTCCAATGAAAAAACTTTCTTGGTATGAGACTTGTGAGATTTTAAACAAGTATTAATGAGGGTCGCCGCTCTGGGACATATAACATTAAAAAGTTTCTAAGCCCTTAACAATGTGCAACATTTTCACAATATGTTGAATACCGCGAACTTAAAAAGGGTTAAGTGTTTGAGTATTTGAAATTTAAAGTATTTTGTTTCAATTGCATCAATCTTTCAAGGTTTGCCAAGAGTGTAGCCAGGGATGGCAACACTCTTTGGAACTTCATTCGAGTGATTAGTAGACTTATGTCCAACCACTACTCGCTAGATGCTCATCTCAATAGAATAAACCTCGTGGACAGCAACATCTGTCGGCGTGGAAACGGTTACGATGACATCGATCACGCAGTTTGGCCATGTACGGATAATGACGCCGCCAGAGAGCGACTTTTGAGAACCCTCGAGGCCCAAGGAAGACAACCCTATGTTCCTATCAGAGACGTGTTGGGAACTCACGATACCTACTATAAGTACTCGGTTTATGTGTTTCTTCAAATGTCTAGTATATGAATTTAATTCCTTTGTCTTTTGTCTCTCTTTAATAGTTTCTGTTTGTCTTGTCCCCCCGTCTCGATGAGTCTCATCGTGACCCACTGGTCGCCATAGCCGGTCGAACTCCAGACGAAACTCTGATGAGACAACGAAACATTACCCCCAAGCTCAATGTACCTCTCTAACCTCAGGTAAGACGCGAGTATTCGACCCAACTCCTACTGGACATAGAATTAAGTGAATTTTGTTACAAACAATGAACTATCGACTCCGTAAAGCTAACGCGATTGAGCTTTCCAAATAAAAGAAATAGTTTAAAAAAACACTCTTTGGAGCATCGTTCACTTTTTTAACATCGAAAACTAACGTTAAGTCCAATTGACTTTTTTGTAAATCCATCTTAAAATGCTGAATTTATCCACCTTCTGACTAGATCAAATTTTGAGCAACTTTCCCAAAACATCTCCAGGTGTTGGCTAAAGTGGTCCTGGGATCTTAATGTAACCAGCAATGAGCTTCCTTTAGAGCTTTCATGTAACTTTATGCGTCACACGATGGCTTTTGGCTCTAGTTTGAAAATAATGTAACCAATGTAGTCTGGGACATCAGATATGTCCCATTTAAACCAGGATCTTGTTATCGAATTCTGATGTAAACGCAGTCATACATTACGTGGTCGATATTGAAAATCGAGTTAATAAACTACAATTGCATGTATTTGTTATATCAATATGTTTAAGAAACACTTCTCGATTTTGCACTAATTGCCAGCTAATAGCGAATTCGTTTTTCATCGGGATGCGAAACCGAACTTTTTGTCAGTGTGAACCTCAACCTGAGGTAGGTTTTAAAAACAAACGATCAAACGACGTTTGTCGGAAAGCAAGCAGACCCAATCCGACCAGGTTGGAACAAATTCGCCAATAAGAGAACCATTGTTCACCAATGGTGCAAAACATTGAAATCGACATCACTGCCTCCCCCTTAGGAGCGTTGGCGGTACTAGCTTGCGACCAATCAAGCAACCAGCGCAGGTAGTCACTCTTACTAAGCAGTTCGGTTAGTCGCGTTCGTGATGAGCATACTACCCACTCCGTACTGTATAAGAGACCGCGCGAGTAGAACCCCATAGTAACCTCAGCTGACCGAGTGTATTTATGAGTTTCAGCAGTGAGTGTAAGCGTGTACAAAAGAGAAAGAGTGCGAGAGAGAAAGAGTAATATATAGACAGGCAGCCCCAAGCGGGTTAAGTGTTTTAGCGAATCCTAGGGCAGATACTGATCGCGAATGCTATTATCAGAACGGTTCCGAAGATCAACGCGCGCGCGTCGTCCTGCCCTGGATCGTGGGCTTCGTCAGACGTTGAAATTTTTTCCCAAGGAGTTCCCACAGGTTTTGTCCGCAAAGGTATGTCAATTTACGAAGAGTTGTCCATCTACTGAAAACAAGTGATAAGCGAAAAGTTCGATTAGATTAGAGGCAGTATCGTCAGTGCGGTGTATCGACAAGTTGTGTACAAACTGAACTTATGATACACGTGAAGAAGACGGCCGAGTGTTTGTGGTGATCTTCGTGGAAAAGTGTTGGAGTTTGCTATCACCACGCTTAGCTCAACCGGGTGATGTTCTGGCAAAAAGAGAAGCTAACGGCCATAAAGTGAGTGAGTCCAAACACACATGGTGGTAAAAATAGTCAACAAGTGTCAAATTTATAGTGAGGAAAACGGAAAAAAATAACATCACACACGCGGAAAATAAACGCCCAACGAAAGTGGCTCTAGAGAGAATACAAGAGTGACAAAAAGTGACCGCCGGCCGTTGCTGCAGATAAATAAATTACCGACCAATTATAGCATGAAAAATAAATAAATAGATCGCCTCATTGTTGGGGTTGGCCACTGAGAAGAGGCTGACGACAAAGAGACGAGTTGTGATACAAATCGTATGATAGCGATATTAGCACTAATTAATTGCTCTATAGGTGATCGTAAATTACAGCTCCAGGTCGCGCTGGTGAATCCGAATAGTTCTTTTCTTTATTGTTTCAATAACCACTGGCATCAAATGGTGAATAACACTAAACAAGCCGACAGCGATTCCCGGATTAATTAACCCCAAAATTCGTCACCGACCAAAGGGTATATTTGTGTGTTCACTCATCGGAAGCCGCAGTATTACGTCAGTACGGTGCGGCCAGTAATCTTCTGCAGTTTTAGTAGTAACCGGTAGCAACGGCGGCGGCGGTGGTGGCGACAGTGACGAAGACACAGACGACAACAACCAGCTAATTAGTCACAAGCCGGCACAGGTGGTTGGTTGGCTAGAGGTGCCCTTGTGTGCTAGGACCAACCAATCCTCTCAATCGATAACCGTAAGACAGAGCGGCACGGTCAGACGATAAGATCGGTTTCTTATCATTAGAAGGTGAGGCAGTCGTTCGTTCGTCGCAAGGATTGATTTCTCTCCCTCTCTCTCTCTCTCTCTCTCTCTCTTTGTGGCTCTTCGGACTGTGCCAGTCAGCTTGCATTGTTATTGCGAAACGTATAAATGGAAAATTTACGAAGCGGAATGCTTGATTCATTACATTATTTGGGAAAGATAAACCGATTTTTTTCCATAAGACGTTACATTTTATTTCGTGAGCGGTTAACAAGAAACTGTAATGCCATGTTCAGACTAGAGAGTTGTAACGTGTTATAAGCGATTTTCGTGATACAAGAACAATATTGATATATTGGACTATGGGCCAGATATTAAAATTTCAAGGCAAAATCAAAAAAGTTTTTCCAAGCCAATCAGGCAGCTAGGAATTGGGAAAAATCAATACTGGCTAAAAGTCCATCCGCAAACAACGGTATTATTTTACATGTTCCACTTAAAAATGACAACAATCCAGGTGGAATTCAACATTCAAATTGGTGCCAATAGTTTCTGCAGATATCTGCGAATGAAGTTGCAACTGGACAATGGAGTGGAGTGCCAACCGGAGTCTAACAGGGAATGTGTACTGTCATTTTAGGTAGTTACATCTTACTCCAACAGTTGCATTGAATTTGACGCGCTCTTCTCAAACAAACCATCCCGTGGAAAACTTAACATCTATTGCAAATTTCGTTATTCGTTTTGTTGGATTGTTGGAAGGAGATTCTCTAATTCCCGCGGGTTCCACGTAAGTGCCTCTGCTTACGGACCCGTCGAACCATTTTTGGCCCTTCATACAGCAGTATGTTGAATTCAGAATGATGACGAAATTTGATCTTGCTGTTGACTGGAGCCGCATGCAGGGCAAGCCCCAAGCTAGGATGGTGGCTACTTACATACATACAGCCATTCCATAGCAAAACGATTGGTAGTTTTGTTCCTTATCGCAAAATATTAGACCCGTATTTTTTTTTAATTTTGTCATTAAGGTGACCATTTCCATGTCAAAAATGGCTTTTCTAAAATGGCTTTTTTTAAAAATTCATAACACTTGAACCACTGAACCGATTGCAAAGATCAAAATGTCAAATGAAAGATAATTAAAATTATTTTTTTCAATACAATAATATTAGAAATGGGTTTTGTATAGAAAAACATTGATTGCATTTGTTTTTTTTTATTGTTTTCATGGTTTGTAGACAGAGGGTATTTTATATGTTTCCTTGTAAGCTTCAATTTTTCACACAATATATCAAAAAATCAGCGATGTGTTTTATTTTGTTTTTGAGTTATATTTTTTTGAAGTTATCAAGTTTTGGGTTCCGCTCAATACTCCTATGCGACTAGACTACCATGCGTCTCCATTGATACGTAGCTAGCATAGTCACATAATCTTAACCAATTTTCTGCTTCTGATGTTATAGGAAAACCCAAAACTTAATAACTTCATAAAAATATAACTCCAAAACGAAAAAAAAACAAATAGCTGATTTTTTTATATGTTGCGTAAAAAAGCCTAAATTTTTCAAAGAAAAATATTAAAACATATTGCGTCATCTGTGTATAAACCATGAAAAGCAAAAAAAAAAAATGTATTTCAATACAAAATACGTTTTTTAATATCATTATATTTTTTTCTATAAAGTATTGTTAATTCCCTTTCATATGATATTTTGATCTTTGAAATCGGCCCAATAGTTTAAAAATTATACATTTTTGGAAAAAAGTCATTATTGAAAAAAAAATATTTTGGACCACCCAAACATAGAAATGGTCACCCTAATGACAAAATAAAAAAAAATACATGTCTTATATTTTGCGATGAGGAACAAAACTATAAATTTTTACGAAATTCTGAGAACCACTATATCGTTTTCCTATGGAATGGCTGCAAATCTGCGGATGAAATAAGCAGAATAGTTTTAATCAAGCACATATTTTGAATATTTTCAACATCCAAAATTTTTGCTTCAACCATTTTATTCCTTAGCAAAAGTTCTGATTTTTATCAGAGTGGTGAGCAAACCGGGAAATAACCGGGAATTTGAAAAGTGACAGGGAAAACTGAAAACAAAATCCCGGGAATTTAATGGGAGAACCGGGAAAAATCAATAAGCCTATAAAAAATAAAAGTTCACCAAAACTCACTACGCTTGCAAATTTTTCCCTTGGTAACTTCGTGAAATTTCTCAACGTTGAACTTAAATTATTGATTGTATTTTGTTTTGTTTTTTTTTTTTTGTGGAGGTTTATATGAATAATGTTTATTTTTTCTACTTAAAATTATTATGAACTTTATGAAAATTAAATTTGAGAATTCATGATTTCTGAGCCATGCAGTTTTCAACTTTATAGACTAATGTGTTACTTTCCAATTGGTTTAGTATTAACCAAGTTTAAAATTGTATAATCGAAACTTAGATTAATTTCCGGTGACTCTAATGCTATGTTCAAACTAGGGAGTTTTATCATGTTATAAGCTGTTTACAAGATTTAAGAACAATTGTGATACTTTTTTCTTGTATGACGAAATCCTCTTACAACACTAAAAAGTTCTATAGACTAAGTAGCTGTGTAGTGTGGAGTCATTTGAAATGGTTGTCAATAAAAAAAATCCAACGGTCAGGACCAACACCAAGGCTAACGTCCCTTCATCAAACTCGTTCGAAAGATAAAGTACAGGGTGATTCGGCATAAATGTTGATTTTTTTTATATAAGTATATTCCAGATATACTACAATAAAACCAACAATCAATTCGAAACTAACGATTTGAAATTGGCTCACTACTTGACTAGCCTATTGGTCCCAAGCAAAATGATTAACGTACCCCATTCTAGTATAAATTCCAGTACTACACTATGTTTGTTTTGATTCGCTATGAAAGTTTGACAGATAAAATGAGGGGTTCGTGGATTTTCCTATGTTTCGAGGGGTGCATCGATCAGCTTGGGTCCGATGATAGTACCAGAGCTGAGCCTAAAAGTTGAGCTCGTTTCTTCGGGATCTTCTGGTCTTAGAGTTACCTCTATGATAAAACCTTCAACTTAACCACAGCTGGCACGGCAGGCACTCTTTAGTTCCAGCACTTTTAGAGTCCTGACGATGCGGATTTTCGACGCATGGTTCCTTTGTACCTTTATAATAATGCGAAAAAAAAAATGTTTCATTCTTTCGAAGAGATTTGAGTTTCTTAAAGATAACACTCGAATTTATACAGATTTATGACATGCTCCATTTTCACTTCCATGGCCGCTTGAAATCAAAAACGAATCGAAATCCTACTATCAATACAAGCTAATATTTGTAAACACTTTAAAACAAAAATAGTTGAACGTATGCCGATTTTACCCATCTAGAATTGCATTATTTGTGAAATCGGTGACAGTTATTCTGAATCACCTTTTATAAGGATCAACACTCAAAATTTGATTCTTAAATTAAATTGTAAAGTAATAAAACAAGTGTATCCTTAAAGGCTTACCAAATTTATTCCTACCCAATGAAAAAGTACGATTAATCCAGTGCAATAATCACTAATGAGCATGAGCATGAGCATGAGCATTGATGACCCTACATTTCAGTAGTTGCTACTCCGTGATTGGCCAAATTCAGCGAAATTTGCACAAAGAACCATATTAATGGGGCGTGGCTAGCAATCCATTCTCACTGTACAAAATCCGGAGAATCCTTATACTGTCTGTTTACGTCAATAGATAGATTTCGTTAAAGCGCGAAACTTTATCCAGTGTACCAAGCCTCAGAACTGTTTCGTTTAAGATATATAGGGTTTTTCGTCAAAATTGTATTTCGAAATGGCTGCATTTAGAAAGACGCATTTCGCGCCAAATCGAATCGAAGCTGGCAACACCCTCTAAGATTTCAATAAAATTTTCTGGATGTGTAGACTTTGACTAAATAAGCACTTTTGCATACTCATTTTTTTCCAAAATTTATCTAGACTAACATTTAAGATGGACCAAACTTTTTCTGCCATTTTTTTTCAAAAAAATATTATGAAAAAATTACAACTCCTACAAATATGTGTTGTATGGATGACTTTTAGAAAATTGTACAAGTTTTCGAAAAAAAAATACTGAAAAAAATCCATTTAAGATCTACACTGAAAAAAATCTATTTTTAAAATTTAAAGTCGTTTAAAAAATGGCAATGTTTGATTTGGATGAAATTTGCCTCAAGATAGGTAATTATGTTTACTACCATCGGTCCATACATCGCGAGATAGGCACTTTTAAGGAAAAAAAAGTTTTTCTTGCAAAAACTTTTTCGTGTCTGAACTAATTTTTTTAACGTTCCATTTTCACACAAAACTAAACCAGTGAAGCTCAAAATCATCTCAGAACCCAATGAAGCTCAATTTGTGATTCTATTTTGTCTAATAAGCAACTAATCACTTGGATTAATAGATAATTCCATATGAAAAGGGCTTATATCATTAGAAAATAATATAATTGATTGTATTGTTAACCACTGAGGCAATATCCGATACTTTTATAGCAGCTTAGCATTCTTAGCTAAAATAATCCATAAAGAATTAGGTATGAATAAAATTTAAATTGAGATCTTCTTTCGTATCAACAACGATTTGGGAAGTCAACCTATCGCATCATAATTCTATATGCTCTTCTGTTATTTATACCTAAACCATTAACATTATATACCTACCACTTCATTGATTTGAAACTAAGGTTGATTTCATACAAGCAGCAGTCAATCTGATAACAAAAGTTGTGAAGACAAGTTTTAGTAAAATTAATAAATCATGGACCAAAGTAGTAAATTAAGACTCAAAGGATTGAAATGTTGTGCTTATATAAATAATCCGAGATGCAACCGAAATAAGTTACTGGCTTTGATGAAACGATGAGCATTTGTGAGTAATGCCGTAGCGTGATATCTCATAATAGAAGTCCAGTTATGAAAAAACGCCGATCGGTTGGGAATGAAGTAAATATCCAACCCTCAACTAGTGGGCAGCAGCAG